GCGCGGCGCGCGCGCGGCGGCGGGCGCGCCGGGGTCGGGTTTGGGGTGCGCGGCGCAAGCGCGGGCCAGCGGACGGGCGCGGGGGGCGCGGCGCAGCGCGCGGCGCTGGCGGCGCAGCTGGCGGCTGAGTCGGAGTGGGAGCTGCTTGCTTCCCTGGGCATGGCCCCCATGGCAATGGCGTCGGGCGAGGGGCCGGCCGCGACGGCGGCCGGCGGCGGCGCCACCCCATTGGTGGCGCACGTCGTGGGCGCGCCGGCGCGGCTGGTGCAGGCCCGCAGCGGCGGCGGTTGGAGGGGCGCAGCGGCGCCGACGCCCAGCGGGCGCTGACGGGCTGAGCTGAGCAGGGGGAAGGGTGCCCCTGTCCCTGGGCCGAGCGGCGCCAGCTCTGAGCGCTGCAGTTGCGAGCGGCACCCTTGTCGCATGCTTGCTTTCCTCTGGTTGTATCATTATCCGCGGCTTGCTTGCCCCACACGGCCCCCACCATGTGCGTCGCGATGAGGTCGAGACGCTGTAAAGTACCAGCCCTCTTGTCGTGACGCGCCTGGCGTTGCCGCCCATTCCGCCAGGCGTGCAGATGATGCCAGCGGTTCGCGACGCCACGCAGCAGGTAGCGGGGCGTGCAGCAGGGCGTCGGGGCCACCAGCCGCAAAGCAGCCGGCCCGTCCGGAATAAGAAAAACACCAGGGAGGATGATTGCTGGCGGCGGCAAGTGCTGGGTCTGTAGCCAGGGTTTCAACCCTGTCAGCCTGAATTGGTGTGATGACATACCCGCAAGATGACTACCAGGGCGGAGTGACATCACCAGCCACACCCTGAACACCAATCTCCTCTCTGCTTGCTATTCAGGAGTCCCCACCTGCCGATCCCGCATCACCTGACAAGCCAGTGAAGTCAGAAAAGGGATCAGCAGCTCCCTTGCTGTGCAAGTGCCGCGACTTCCGTCTTGCTCGCGGCTGTGAGCAAGCGATTGACCGTCGCTTGTGACACCCCTCCCACCTGTGTTCAACCAGTTGACTGACTCGCTCTCCTCCCACCCAATTACTACTACTGCGCGCAGGTGCTGTGGGCCTCGGAAGGCATGGGGGGATTGTTCAAAAGTGCCTGTGACTGACTCACAGGCCAACGGCAATCGATCGTTGCCCACGCGTTGACCGTGCGCGCACTAGCGCCTCAACCCGTGCTCAATGAACAGAGCTTGGCTTTTGGGTGGTGGATTGCTGATCGATCTGCGACATGCAGGGGCATGCAGGCTGCGGCGCTGCTGCACGCCGCACCAGGCTGGCACACGGCGACAGTCAGACGCCACGACCGAGCAGCTGCCATATTCGCGTCACGGGTTGCCTCGGCTGCAGTGGGCGAGGAGCTCTATATGATGCCATCCCGCAGCCAGTTCTAGGAAGTGCGCAAGCCGCGCCTCTGCCCTCTGGCATAGAACAGCTACCCGAGCACAGTGGTTACAACCCAGCTGGTGGCAGACGTTCACCTCCCCGCGCTTTGTATGGGTCCCGCCGCCCTGAACCAGACGCTACAACAATTCTGTCAAAAATGCAGCCAAATGTTCCATATGTGTATCATATATATCAAGAGGAAACAGCGCCCTGCAAGACCCAGCTCGAGCCGGGGTCAGGCGCCCGCCGAGCGGCAGCCTGTACCCTCGCTCGCTCGGCTCCATCGCCGGGCCCCGTGCCGCCGGAGCAGCCCGGAAAGCCCAGTGGCAGCCACGGGCCCCTGCCTACATGCATGTGTGAGCAAGGCTTGTCGAGAGGGTTGTTGCAATAAAGGCCATGTGGCGCGTGATTATCGACGCAAGATGGAACCAACGTTGCGATGAGGCATCAGTGTTTCCCTCTTTTTACCGTGCTTCGCGCCTCCCCCAACCCAGAGAGAGCTGGCGAGGTGGTCGCCGGAAGTTCTTGGCCGCGCCGCCAGGCGGCGGGGGCCGCTCACGGGGTCCGGCCGCTGGGCAGAGACGGCGAGTCCCGCACCCACGCAGGTGGCATGGGCCGATCCACCACGGGATCCGCTGGGCCGCCGCGTAAGAGGAGGGGCCAAGTGCTTGCTGGAAGGGTGCTGGGTTTGCCGAGCCGGCGTTAGCAGGTGCATGCAAATGGCAGCATCAAACAGCGGCACCTAGGGTGTCACCGTGGGCAGGGCCCCAGTCAGAGGCAGGCAAAGGGCATCGTTGGCAGGCAGGCACGTGAGGCGGTCCTGGGATCGTGCCGGGCGTGTGTAGACTGGTGCGCAGCAGAGTGGTCGCCTGGGCGCCATCACTGGAGCTGTGCGGGTCGCATTATGTTGGCAGCTTTCCAGCGGGGGACGCCAACACACGAATCAGCCTCCAGCTTCCAAAGGAAAATGCCCGGGGACTTTCCTGGCAGCCACTGGGGGCTGTCAAAAGAAAGGGGGGCGACAAAGGCATGCCTAAACATGGCACAGACCTTGGCAAAAAAGTGGGGAAACGGCCAACGGTTTGGCTGCACACGCCTCCACCATCGAACACCGCATATGCATACACAATGCAACGCACACGCGCGCGCGTCCCCGCGCCGCCGCGCGCCGGTCATCGCCCCGATGGCCCGGCTGCGGCGGCGGGGTGCGCGCGCCCAGCTCCATCTGCTTTTCCGTTCGTTTTTGAAGGACCCCGGCGCCCGCCGCGGCCGGCCGGCCCCATTGGGGAGGCGCCGGCCGGGCGCGGCGGGCGCCCGCATATCGCAAAAGTGCTCCCCGGATGGCCCCGACCTTCTCGGCTGGTGGCGTCACAGATGTAAATGCAGACGCAGTGATGTGGGCCGGCGCGCACAGCGCCGCCAAAGGCATGTTGGGACGGCGGAAATGCAGATTGTGCAGACGCGGCCGACAGGAAAGCGATGACTCAAGTTCTCGGGGACAGAGGCAATCTGCGCCGGGGAAGCTGGGCCCGGGGATCCGGCCTCCACCCCGGGGGGCCGGGGCCCGCCGGCGCCTGGCGGGCTCACCGGTCGACACTAAGTTTTGGTGCTCCTGATTTTGTGGCCGGGCGATCGCCTCGAGGCGGGTTCTGGGGGCTAGGCGCCTCAAAGAGGCAGCTTGAAAAGGCGGGGAGTAGCTGGGGCCGCGGCCGCCACGGCGCGCGGTGAGGAATCAAACTGATGTCACCGGCAATCCCCCACAGAGCGGCGCGCGGCAGCGCGGGGGGCGTGGCCTTCGGGCCCGCGCGCCGCGGTGCCGCGCGCCGCTGTGCGAAACGCTCCGTCTTGTTTTGCCACATTGAAAAAGAGCGCGAGAGCCCCTGGCGGCCAGAGCCATATCTGTGGCAGCCCAGCCGCGAGGGCCTGCGGACAACAGGGGCCGCGTGCCCACGCATGTGCATTATGTGTGTACAGTCACCCTGGCGTCTTCCCCCAGGGGCCGTTGCTGCGACCAGCCGGCTGCGTGCTCCAGCCGCCGCGCGGGAGACGGGTCCCGCTATTCTGGCGGCTGGGCCTGCGGCGGCTGCGGCGGGGGCGGCGGCGCCGGCTGCTGCTGCTGCTGCTGCTGCTGCTGCTGCTGCTGCTGCTGCTGCGGGTGCTGCTGTTGGTACTGGTGCTGGTCTTGCTGCTCCAGCAGCGTGGCGCAGGTCCCGACCGCCTCCTGGAACATGGGCACCGCGAAAGCGGGGATCACCATGCTGGTCCTGGGGCGGAGGAGGGGGAGCAGGGCGAGGCGCGGGCGATGCGTGATGCGGCTCCGAGCCACGCGTTTCACGAGAAGGGTAAAAAGCGGCCCAAGAGGAGGAAAGGGCCGGCCGATGCCAAGGTCACAACGGGTCGGCATCACAATTGCGCCGCCGCCAACGGCCCTCTTGGTAGCGGTGGGGCGCCGCGGCTGTGGCGTCACCCGCGCCGCACCTGTCTTGGCGCTGGACCTCAGTAATGCGCATGAAGCGCCCGCGGGCGCCCGACCCGACGTCAAAGAACACCCTCCGCCCCGGCATTGCCAGGACGGGCGTTCCCTGCGGCCCGGTGTAGAGCGACGAAGGCGGGAGCCCGGGGCCCACCACGGAGCCGCCCCCAACGTCAAGCAGCCGCGGCTGCGGTGGTGGCGGCGGCTGCGGCTGCGGCTGCGGCTGCGGCTGCGGCTGCGACGGCCCGGCCTCCGCCCGTGGCGGGAAGGGGTGGCGCTGCAACTGCTGCCCTGGCTGCTGCGCGGGCTGTTGGGGC